TGACAACTTCTAAGGCAGTGTGTACCTTTTGCACAGAAGGCAATTCCAGAATGAACTGTGAAAAAAACAAAAAGCGATGGTACACAATACAAAAAAGTTAAATTGTATTTAATATATATCAAACTACACTGATAATTTTGTTTATTCCATGTGTGTGCAATGTATTTTTATGTTTATTAGAGTATCACACTGTTATCTTTGCAAAATGCTAAGGTCACACTCTAATGAAATAAATAGAGTCTATTCTCCCATGTGGAGTGCTATTTATACGAGTTGTTCATGAATAGCACTCTAAATCAGTCACTTATGTGGTTCCATGACAGCTAGAATGCTGGCTTAGAAGGCAGCTTTAGGCAGGTTATGGACAGAACTTACATGTATTTTGATTATATGTGACCACTTGCATGTGTGTACACAAGAGACATAATGAGACAGAGATAGAAATGAATAAAAACTGTATGTATGTGGGTGCAACCAAAGTCTATTATTACTAATTTCTGACACCTGATAGTGAGAGTCACAGGCATCAGTGCTGTGTATTTGACTGGCAGCAGTGGGCTCGGTCATCGTGATGAGTGGGTGAGTCAGGCAGCTCATGCTGGGCAGAAGCCTTGAGCAAATGTCATCGCCTCTAACGCGCCACTGACTAACACACTGCTGCTCCCAGATGACATCTATCACCACACACACATATCTTAACGACAGCCCCACACTGCCAAATTTTACTCTATCCATTCAGCAAACTTACTTTCTTCATTTGTTTCCAATCATGAGTAATGCACCTGGTCTCCAGGAGCTGTATGTTTTATGGAGCACAATTTATGGAGTAACTTCTCGCTAGCTAAAGGTATAATTTAGTGTCAGTGTGAATCTAGGTAGGCTATAACTTTCTTGGCTTGACACGGTTCTTTTCGACAGTATGATACATCACACCACTCAATACAGCGCACACACTGGGTTTCACTTCCACAATGTCGACCTCGGAGACATTCGTTTTAGCTCCACACATTTTTAAGAGCGGTTTTATGTGACAGCTTGGTAATTTTTTAGCAGCTACCTGACTTCAGTGCCCATAGCACATGACAGAATGCATAATATTAAGTTAAAAATAATAAATCATTAAAACATTTTCATAATTAATATTACACAACAGTTTCCTTTTGAGATTTCATGTGTGCTTGCATATAATAAGACTTTGTGTCTCAAGACATATTGTGCCACGTGCCAAGTCAAAGATGCCACATCTCATAACTAATAGCAAACACCCCAAACTTTACTATGCAGAAGTGCAAATGTGATTCATCAGAGAACATGATTTCAGTCTGTTCATCACACAACTAATGCATGGCTTTATGAGACATAGAATATAGCACAACTTTTACAGTTTTTTTTACATTTTTAAATACATTTTTAAAGTTATATTTATTGGCTTTTTATGCCTTTAATATGAGAGGACAGTGGAGAGCTGACAGGAAAGCATTGGGTGGAGAGAGGCGAGTGGGATCGGCAAAGGACCTTGAGGCAGGAATCGAACTTGGGTTGCCGTGAGTGCAGTTGCCCTGTATGTTGACGCACTAACCACAAGGCTATCGGCGCTGACTTTTAAAGGGGTCATATGATGCGATTTCAATTTTTCCTTTCTCTTTGGAGTGTTACAAGCTCTTGGTGCATAAAGAAGATCTGTAAAGTTGCAAAGACTAAAGTCTCAAATCCAAAGAGATATTCTTTATAAAAGTTAAGAGTCAGCCACACCTACCTAAAACGGCTCGTTCTAACACGTCCCTACATATCTACGTCGCTATGTGGGAAGATTTGCATAACGCCGCCCAAATGTTCACGCAACTTAAACATTTAAAGTTATCAAAAGCAAAGGGACTGCCTCAGGTGTCATGTTCAACTACATCCGTTAAAAAACAGCAAAGAGCATTTGAAACCCCAAAGCAGCATCATTGTGATGGTGTCACTGTGATAAGTTTCACTTTTAGTCTCTATTATTCACAACTAAGTGCTTTCTGACTGCAAAGATCCCTGGGAAAAATGTAGAGGGAAACTGACTAAGATATCACCAAGCAGTTATGATACTAATAGAAAAGTTGCGATTACATAATAATTACATGAGTCTTCAGAACAGGGATGCATTTACTATTGTGTAACACCTTAAAGTTTTGAAGACACCAACTCTGGTTGTGGTGGAAAAGTTGGTTTTCTGTATTTTCTGTAAGAGATTGTAAACTCATTTAAAGGGGTGGTTGATTGCGATTTCACTTTTTTAACGTTAGTTAGCGTGTAATGTTGCTGTTTGAGCATAAACAATATCTGCAAAGTTACGAAGCTGAAAGTTCAATGCAAACGGAGATGTCTTTTAAAATTCTGGCAGTTTAATGCCTACAAAACCGGCTGGTAGGGACTACAACAAGTTACTTCCCGGGTTCGTGACATAACAAACCAGATAAACCCCGCCCTCAGGAAAAGGCAGCAAAGGGGGCGGGGCCATGCTGCGCTGCTTTAGAGCAGAGGAAGAGAAAACTAGAGGTGCACGTAAAAATCTATTCATATATGAATCGCGATTCTGTTTTCTAACGATTCTAATGGATTCACAAGTTTCAAAATCAATGTTCTAAAGCAGCGGTTCTCAATACTGTTCCTTGCGTTCCCCTGCTCTGCACACACTCTGCATCTCTCTCTCTCTCATTCAGCTCGGCTCCAACAATGAACTTTTCCAATTATACACTTATTTTCACATAGCTATGCGTTCCCCTGCTCTGCATCTCTCTCTCTCTCTCTCTCGCTCTCATTCAGCTCAGCTCCAACAATGAACTTTTCCAATTACTCACTTATTTTCACATAGCTATGAGAAGCATTAAAAATGTATGCACGTGCAGTTGCCATACTGTATTAAAGCTTTAATCTGGATAAAACCGTATATTAAAAGCTAACATAAGCAGTAGCATTTACAAATAACAGCATATCTAAAAGTATGAGACAACAACAAACAAAATACATAGGCCTAACATTAAAAGCCGTTCTTGCACAGGTTCTGCACGATCCTCTTCAATAATAGTTTTAAATGAAGCATTAACACATGGTAGACTGCACCCCATAAACACAATCATGCCTAGAAAAAAAAACAGTGAACCACCCCTTTAACCCCCTGGGGTCGACAGTTCCGCCAGCGGAACTTTTTGCAGATTTGAATGATGACAGCGAAAATCAGTGCAAAATAAACTGTTGCAAAGAGAGCCAAAGCAAAGCAGCCCACTTGGTCATGGAAACCAGAGACTGACATTGACATGTTCCACAGGCTCTGAGATTCCTTGCCTGCACAAGAACCTGGACCACAGCAAAGACCATGTGATGCACACACTCCCATGAGTTATTTTATGTGATAGTTATATGTATTCTAAAACGTACATACATGCTGCTCACATATTATTGTAGCCCAGTTTGTGCTGATTACAGTGTTATTAAACTTTAGACATTCAAATGTTTGTAAGCAACTGAAAAAAGTACAAATGTCAGGGCATGTCAAAACTTTTCCAGGTCCCAAAACACCCTCGGACCCCAGAGGGTTAAGGCTGCAGATGGAATGGAGAAAGAGGAAACAGAGGGGTTAGAGCTGTCATGATCTCATGAAATGTTTTTCATCTGCACAAAGCTCAAAGAACTGCCTCTTTTCCCCACAGTCCTTACACAGGAGAAAGTGCAAAGATTAACTTAAAGGTTGCAAAGGCCAACTTCAGGTCACTGAAAAAGTTCTGTTTAGAACCACTTAACTTTCTTTAGTGATTTATAAAAAAAAATCGAAATAGAATTTTTAAATAGTTTGAATACAGATTTCTAAATAGTTTTAATAATTATTAAAATTGTTCCAAATGAATCCCTATGAAAATAATCATGCTGTCGGAAAGCATCAAACTAGATATAGATAATCCATAATTCACACTAATTGGTTTATTTATTTATAAATTTTTTTAAGATCACTGTAAAGTTATTGCAGCTGGAATCCACAGAACCAGGCCAAGATTGGCTAATCGGGAGCACCTGGAGAATTCCCGGTGGGCCAGTCTGTCTTTTTTGTGGCCGCGAGGGCCAGTGTTGTCATGCCACTGGGTTGAAATATGGATGCTGTGCCTAGGCTGCCTGCACTCACAGCAGCCCACACTTTTTATTTATTATTTTACTGCAGCCCCACTCTTTTTATTTATTATTTTCTCACAGCCCCACCAGCCTGCAGGTTAATGATGACATAATTATCTTTTGACTCCCCAGACAGCAGCACAAAAAAAAAAAAAAAAAAAAAAACATGTAAAAATCAGTTGTTGGAGATATGCGAGCAAAAAAATAAGAGATAAAAACAATGGATAATAGAAAGCGCAAAGGTGGCACTGAAAAGGCCAGTATGAAAAAATAAAGCTCTAAAATACAATGAATTACAAGGCTGTAGAGAACAGTGCATTATTGTAGACTTATATACTGAGGTTTTAATTACATTATTTTAATATATTCAGTTGTGAACTAAAGTGGGCCGTTCTAAGGCATGACACTCCAAGAAGATTAGGATTAAAACAAGCATAAATCAAATTGTTTTAGCACAACTTGGGCATATAACTGGGAGTTCAAAAGAAAGCAACAGAAATACATACAATTAAATAAAAATGCATAATAATAACTCCAATAATTACAGGACTTCCATTACTTTTACCAGATATTCTGGATAATTTTACAGAAAATTAATTGAAACTGCTCTCACAAAGAGCAGTTTCTAGTGGAGAAATACGTGACTTAAGTCTAAGTAGAAAAACTCATTCACTATAGACATTTCTATGACTTTTAAAGATTTTATTAATTTACATGGCTTTTCCAGGTTTCTCTGCTATTTCTATAGAACAAACGATATAAAAAGAAAACAGAGACAAACAGGAGAGATGAAAAGACCACAAGAGGTAGACAACCAAATGAAGGCGAGTAAGGGAAGGAAATAAAAACAAACAAACACCTACTTCTCAATTAGGTCCAAGGTCACTCCTGGCACCAGCTTTGCACTCTTCTGCATACAGAACCTTAAGGAAAGAAAACATACACAGACACTCCTTTCAATTTCTGCCTCATTTGATTTCGCCCAAATCCATTTATACGTACTGATTCGTGATTATCTCAAACCAGGCTTGACCTCTTAGCACTGACCTCTCGCTATACCTAATCTCCAAACTTTCATTTACCTCCACACACAGGCATACATAAAACACATTTACAGTAATCAACTGAACTAACCCTGGAAGTTAATATGAGCTTTATTTAATCAGTACCAGCTTTATGTAGATACGGCAGAAAGAAAAAACCAATGAAGATGGAAAATGATGACTATTCATAAGACACAGCAAGGGGATATTCAGTATACATGCAGCCCTTCATCATTTATCTCTTTTACCTAGCTGTACCATGGTCCTTATATCTATATTTGTATTCTACTTTATGAACAGATCATCCAAAATGCAAACTTAATGATACTTTCTGGTTAAATCTGGTTAATTTGTCACATGTTCAGACCAAGACTGATGCTATTCATTTGTGACATCCATCACGCAAATAGTCAGTATTAAGCTAAACTGTGTGACTGTTGAATTCCTTCTTGGAAAAAAGGGGAGAAAAACATTCATACAGAGTTCAAAATGATTGTTCATGTTCATCAAGCTGCTCCACTTCCTACACTTTGTGGCATCACAGTGTGACAGTCAATTGCATTGGACCGCCTCCACAACAACACTTAAACACCTACTTTACCTTATCAGTTCAGTAGCCTCCCAGCAGTGGTGAACAGTTGCATGAAGTAGAGAGAGAGAGCAGGTCAGAGAGATATTCAGGATACCAGACACCTAAAAGCTCACTGCTATTTTTAAACTAGATTTTACAAAGACTAAAATGTAGGGGAGGATCTCAAGAAGATGTGCTGTTCATGGATTTTACATTACACCCTGTCTACACTGGATGTGAGCAGCATGTTGCCTCACGTCATATCAAAAGCAAATTGAGTCCATTATAATCAAAGACACTGACTAAACTAGATAAGGACAGTAGACAGATATTTCTGTATATCTGATGTACTTCCTACGCTTGAGCTACTCTTAAAAACAGGACAAACAGATGAGGAAAGGATGTGATCTTTTGGAAGCGTTCACTTTGACACATCCTGTTTAGGAAAGTGTGGATGTATATATACATATTATTCATCATATTTTACGTATTTTATTATATATATATATATTTATATTATTCATAATTTTATACATATATCATAATGCAGAGTTTACAAAGATACTTTTGTTAAAATGTGCCAACTGTTTTGGATCTGAGAGCTGCCACATTGCAAACCTAAAGAAAAACGGGTTGTGACTGCTATTTCATGTTTACTTTACCTATTATGCCCCTTTTTACAAGATGTAATATAAGTCTGAAGTGTCCCCAGAATGTGTCTGTGAAATTTCAGCTCAAAGCACCCCACTGATCATTTATTATATCAATCTGAAAATGCCTATTTTGAGCGGAAGCAGAAACAGGCTGTTTTCGTGTATTGTGGGAAGCAGCCTCCTTGTCATTTCTGACTTGTAACAAAAAACACATACAAGGAATTTATTATAGTGTCACAAGCTTCCAGTACACGGAGACAACAACAACACACAGATAATAAAAATGAGATGTGAATAAAATACACATGCATAAATATAAACCACAAAAAAATAATAAATTGTATGTACAGGTGTGCTATAGATAGAATAGGATTAGAATAAATAAAAGTTGTAGGGATGTACAAGGATTTAGGGTGATAAATAAGTATAAGGTTATTGCACATACTTTAATTGCACAATGGGAGAACATTAACTGTTCATGAGGTAGATTGCCTGGGGAAAGAAACTGTTCTTGTGCCTGGCTGTCCTGGTATTCGGTGCTCTGTAATGTCGACCAGATGGCAAAAGTTCAAACAGGAGATGGGGCTTGGATGTGATGGATCCAGAATGATTTTCTGAGCCCTTTTCCTCACTCTGCATGTATACAGTTCTTGGAGGGTAGGGCAGGGGGGCACCAATAATCCTTTCAGCAGTCCGAACCGTTCTCTGTAGTCTTCTGATGTCTGATTTTGTAGCTGAACCAAACCAGACAGTTATTGAAGTGCACAGAACAGACTCGATGACGGCTGAGTAGAACTGCTTCAGCAGCTCCTGTGGCAGGTTGAATTTCATCAGTTGGCGAAGGAAGTACAATCTCTGCTGGGCCTTTTTAACAGTGGAGTCAATGTGAGTGTCCCACTTCAGGTCCTGAGAGATGGTGGTGCCCAGGAACCTGAATGACTCCACTGCAGTTACAGTGCTGTTCATGATGGTGAGTGGGGGGAGTGCAGGGGGGTTCCTCCTGAAGTCCACGATCATCTCCACAGTTTTGAGGGTGTTCAGCTCCAAGTTGTTAAGACTGCACCAGACAGCCAGCTCTTTAACCTCCTGTCTGTAAGCAGACTCGTCTCCGTCCTTGATGAGACCGATGACTGTAGAGTCATCTGCAAACTTCAGGAGCTTGA